CTCATAGACTATGAAAAGTTACACAAAGCTGCACATTCTATACCTGGTTTTTTTCATCAGTAGCCGAATCTTATTTTCAAAAGATAAATCATGAACATGTAGCGATATATAACACTAGTATGAAACTATGAATTGTTCTGAGATGTTTTTGATATGCTCAAGTTTTTGAACCGGAGGAAATTAATCAATTTAGTCTGAAATAACTTTTAAGGGTGTGTGTGAGTATGTATCTTTTCTTCTGCTATCAGTATACTCACACCTCACATCAACTCTTAAATCTATTAAAAGAAATAGATTGAGAATTTTATCTCGAATATTGCATCATCGTTACGAACTCATTGTATTTTTTATTTTTTTTTCAAATATTTTTTTTTCTACAATGACTGTTCATTTGCCGATTAAAATTCCATGTTTCTTCACAATGCAATTCTAACGTACTACTATCATTCAGATCAAAAGTTTTACGTATTAAACAATTAACTACATATAAAAAGAGGTTTCTCCTTGTAGAGAATTTTTTATGATTGGAACACGAGTTTAGATGACAGCCATTTAGTAAAAGACGAATGTACTGCATTTAAAAATTATCAGTTGTAACTATTTCGTAAAGAATTTTTAAAATAAATCTTTTGTCCGTTCGGCTCAGGTTAAGTTTAAAAATTAAAAACGAAACAGCGCATCTTTGAATAGTATAATGTGACGATGTGGCAAATTGATTGTGTTGATGTTGATAATTAGACTTTTATTCGTTTACAAATCAGTAATGTTTATTTTTCATATTTTTTTCTTTTATTCTTGAGATAATTTGTGATTGAATCACATAAAGTTATTTTTTCAATAAAACATTTTTCAATCAAGTGAACTCAATGAGTAACTTAAAATTCTGTAAGTTGAATTTTATTACGCAAGAAAATATGTTTTCTACAATTGAAGACTTTTTAGACAACTTTATGAATGATTTTGAGGGAAGAAAAGAATCAAGAATAAATCGAATAGATTAAATTTCCATTACTCATCACTCCATAATAATAGCTTTCCTCCTCTAATATATTTCTAATTCACTAGATAGAATTCGATAAAAATGAACAAAGTCTATTCAATTCAGAAAACTAGAGCAGACACATAATACACATCATTTATAACAGAAATCTTAGAGAGAGATCACTGAACCAGTAGATATGTATAGATATTCATACAAAATCTGTTATTTTATGAAATTGAAAAAATGCACTTACTCGACTCTATTACTTTAATCTAAGAAAGAATAGTTTACTGGAATAAAGTATTCAAGTCACCATCTTTATGTAAGCATTGACTTCAGATCAATCGAATTTGATATAGAAAATTAAATGAAAGATTCTTTAGAAATTGATCGAGCACTTTGTACTTGAATGAATAAGTTTAAGTCGTAAGAAAATACATGTAAGATACTAGCAGACAATTGTAATTGTCAAGGAAAGAAGTTTGTAGTTCTCTGACATTCGAAATAAATGAACTGGTATTGCATTTTTAAATCAATAAAAAAAATTATTAATTCATATATTGAAATGAAGGCATATTGTGGGTGCAAAATGTGAATGTGTACTATCATCCTGTTGAACTACACCCACACCCTCTAGTGTCGAAAGAGGAAAGTCAATAAAATCATTAGAATGAATAATCGTTGTTCACTGTTGTTTTGAACTTGTCAACCATGAAGTGTATATAAGCGGCAAAAAATCTTAGTAAAAAAAACATCGAGAAACAAATATCAAATGAGAAAACTTTTAAAGATACTTTCCGACAAAGATCAGGACTTTAAGTTAATATATCACTAATAAAAACTGAACAAAAGAACAGAACACAACACAATGAGCGACTTATTCAAGATATTTTTCTTTCTTTCTCTCGCATGTAGCAGATTATGGTCTGTAAGAATCGACAAATCTATAGATAAATTGAATATTCAGAAAAAAGAAAATTTTAACAGACTTTCGATTTTCTTATTAGACTATGAAAATTTGATTTAATATTATTTTCTTTTCTTCAATCTGGTAGAACATTCATTGTATAAAGATAATGAGGGCAATTCTGTGCTGCATTTCTTCATCTGTATGTGTGATCTTCTTATCTTGCCATAATATTTTTGTTCCAATCTGTTAAAGACACATTTATCTTAGACTTGTTAATTTGTAACTCTACACAACATATTTATTTTCTCTGAACTGAAAGAATATTGTTTAGAAAACAGAAATTCACTGATGTCTATCTACTTGTATTTAACGTAGTACGAGTGTTCATGTAGTATCCATGTTACGAATTAAGACATTGTAACTCTTTTCAAGATCAATATCTAATAGCTGTTAGTTTATGTTAACTGCGCATTATAGTTTGAATGTCAAACATTGATTAAAAAACCCTACATTATCTTAAATTTTATTTCTACGATTGTATAAAAATATTCATGTCGTGTTATTAAATTTATTAACTGACTATACATGTTAGTTGATCGATCTTCGTTTCTACAAATCTGACTATATCCATAAAAGTATTACATGAAAAAGATTTATTGGTGAAGAAGTATGCCACTATTTAGAACATAAGGATAGACTTAACATAGATGTTCCATATGAATTCATGAAGGATCTGTTAACAGGATCTATTTGTAAAAGGATTACTTCATCTAAAAAGAAGTATTGGAGTATCAGGGGAGCTTTGGCACTGAAAATTCTTGTTAAATGTCAAAATGAGACAGATAAGCAAAACGAAGAGGAAAATATTTGTTTCCGACAGATAAAAAGCTGTCTTGCATTGTTTGAACAAATAAAAACTATAATTTCTCGAAATGATTTGTTAATTTCTCCTGAATTTCAATCAGGGTATAGGTATGAAGACGTAGGTGAAGTTAGCACCATATTCGAGTAAAACCTTCCCATATTCGTCCAGGAACGTGTTCCAAGTGTTCCAGCCCGGTTCCAAGTAGAACTCGACGAGCTCTATCTAACGGTGACCTTGGATTTTCCATAACCCAAACCAATCATGAGAAAAATCCAAAATATTGCTCTATTTCTATGGGAAAAGGCAAACCTACTTACTAAAACCTTCCCATATTCGTCCAGGAGCGTGTTCCAAGTGTTCCAGCCCGGTTCCAAGTACAACTCGACGAGCTCTATCTAATGGTGACCTTGGATCAATCGTAATCCAAACCATTCATGAGAAAATTCCAAAATAGTATCTTTTCACTATGTGTATGGTCACGAAAACCTTCCCATATTTGTCCAGGAATGTGTTCCAGCCCGGTTCCAAGTAGAACTCGACGAGCTCTATCTAATGGTGACCTTGGATCAATCGTAATCCAAACCATTCAGGAGAAAATTCCAAAATAGTATCTTTTCACTATGTGTATGGTCACGAAAACCTTCCCATATTTGTCCAGGAATGTGTTCCAAGTGTGGATGTGGGTGTGTGGGTGTGGGTGTGTGGGCGTGGTGGGTGTGAGTGTGGGTATGTGGGTGTGTGGGCGTGGTGCGTGTGGGTGTAGGTGTGGGTGTGGTGGGTGTGGGTGTGAGTGTAGCTGAAAACGAGACTACACTCACACCCGTACCCACACCCGCAAAAGCTCAATTCTGATTGGTCCATTTTCTGACCAATGGAAGCTCAGAGAGAATAACTGACTTCAGATTCAAATTCCTGGATAACGATAACCTATTGCAAAGTGTTATCAAGAGGTTGAAAAGCCTTAATATAAAAAAGCTCAATTCTGATTGGTCCATTTTCTGATCAATGAAAGCTCAGATCGAAAAACTAACTTCAGATTCGAATTCTTCGACCCCAATTTACTCTCGTCAACCTTTATAAAAAATCGTTCTTTTCTTAATAAACTCTTTCTTTCGAGAAAACGGGCTTGGACTGATAACCGTACTTACGGTTATCTTAGCTGGATTGGTAACCGTACCTATGGTTATCGCCACCGTTGCATCCCTACTCTCATCTCTCAATATGGAGCACTTTTAAAAATTTTGATTAGCTCGCCTGATGTATTTTTCGACGCTAAAGGATAAATCCAAATTGAAGTCCTACTTGAAAAGAAAACTTAGAGTTGTCATGTGCATATATCATATAGAAAAATGTCGAAAAATACGATGATGAATACGGTAGTAGAATATCTTGTATAGCTTAGATGAAGCCTTGTTGCTAATTCAATTTCAATCATTTTATACTCATTGGATAGCTTTTTCTTCGCTCTATTCAAAACCGTAAAGAAACTTCTGTTCCATTAGAATTAGCAGAGAAATATAGCTTGCAATGAGAAAGAGAACAAGCAAAAATGCGAATAAAAACAGTAGGGTCAATCTAATTTTGAGACTGTTGTACTTACAAAATAGAGATTAAGGAGAAGGTGATATATACAGTTTTGTAGAGCGAACTTTGCTCTATCGAATGGTATATTATTCGAAAAGATTCCGATAATTTACTGTGAAGATAATGATTAATTACTGACGTACCAAATTTTGCAAGAAAAATAAAAATATTTTTTGAAAGCCTGTTGAAGGTGCATTCAGTATGTGCTTTATAACTTTTCAAAGGTAAGTCAGAGTGAGCTAAAATTTTGGATTTATAGGTTTCTCACTTTTCTCTTTCATTTCCAATCATAAAATATAGGGGTCAAAATTTTCGAAAGTATGGCTATTCTCGATGGGCTCGTGGACAGTCTCTTAAATCATCTTTTCTATATATCAATTGATATTGCAAGAAGATTTTTCAAAATAAAACAATAAATTCTTAAAATAAATTACTTACATCAAAAATTATAGTTTTAATGAAAAACCCAAGCAATTCTCTCATTGAGTTTCATCCAAAAGAAACTTTGAAACTGCTGCGGGTTATAGAATGCTTTTAAGAAGTTTGATTTGATCCCATCTCGTACAAAGCTCTTAATCATATGTGTGTATAAATGAGAAAGAAAACGAAAAAACAAGAACAAAAAAAAAGTTACTGTTTTTCATTGGAACCGTTGAAATTTATTGCTCTTCTATTTCCTTCATCGCCCTAAGCATATATGCATTATTGACATCATCATCATCTATGTCTATTTCTTGCTTATCACTATCTCCACTTTTTGTTCTTATTCTTGATTGCAGTAATTGTAAGTCGTTTTTGATAAATGTATATAATTGATCATTGACATAATTTATTATTTTATCTTCTTCATTATTTCTAAACATCCAATTTGGATAAATTTTTCCATCAGTTATTAACGAACCAACATAAAACATTCGATTGAAATCAATATTTAATTTTTCAATATATATTGAACATAAATAACATGGTAATTTTGATATTCCAATTTCTACATCTTTATCATGAACTTCTTTTATATTTTGTTCAATTAAACAATCTATCATTCGAATTTCACTATGTAAACATGTTGATAATTTTAAACTTGAATCATATTCAACAAATTTATTTTGAATATACTCATTTTGGAAGGCAGTTTTTGTTTGATCATTCTGTAAACCACATGCCGACCAAATTTTATCAAATGATGATGATGGTGTTTCTTTTAATTCAACGACTTTTTCAATTGGTTCAATAAAAGACCATTGAATATTTTTATATCTTTCACCATATTCAGATTTTCGTTTTTCTAAAGTTTTTAATATTAAATTAAGTGATAGCCGATGTGCAGATACTTTATCTAAATAATACAGAATACGTTCAACATTATCAATTGAATATACTATTGAGAGCATAGAACGAAATATTCTAGAATGATATAATAATTCAGCAGTTGCTTGAAATTTCAAAATAATTTTTAGTTCAAGATTGCTTTTATTGTTTCTGATTGAATCTCGATTTGAAATAATAAACTTGATCCAATTAAATAATATTAAAATATATTCTTTCAAAGACATTTTATTGTCTTTTAAATGATAATAATCGGCTGAACCTTTGTTCAATTTATTGTAAGTAATTTTTTGACATAAATCATCAACATTATTATTTGGTAATTTTTCAAGATTTGAAACAACATCATTAAACAAATAATCAATTATTCGATCGATACATTTACGCTTATTATATTCAAATACAATAGATTCTAATGATGAATATATTTCGTGCATACCATGTTGATTTGATGTTAAACAATGTTGTGAATATTCTCGTATTAAGCCAAAAAATTTATCAAAATATTCTTCATCATTATCTTTTAATTGTTTATTACGTGTTATTAATATTTTGTTTTCTTTCAACAATGGGTAAACTGATGTAGATTGATTTGAATCGTTAAGTAACAAAGCAAGACCATCAAGAAAACTATGACGTCGAGTTTTTGAAATAGTTGGCCGTTTGTCTGTTTTAAAAGGAAATATAGATGATATTATTAACTTATTATAAAATCCAGGTGTAGTCATCTAAAAATAAAAGAAAATTTATCGAACTTTCTTAATATGATATTGTAACAATAATTTATCTTTTAAAAATTATTATAAAACTTTTTTGTCATTTTACATCATCAGATTCCTTCAAATTCTATTTCTAACTAAGATTCATGATGAAATGAATTAAATATATGAAAGGAATCATTTGAATATGTTCTACATATTTGTTAATTGATCTTCTTCAGTGAAATGCTTGAAGTTTCTCATAAAAGACAACATCATTTAACCATGAGTCGTATGTTTCAGCAGAAGAAAGAAAACTCCATCGATTCATCTCCGTCAATCAATGCGCATTGAGAAGCGAAAGGTGGCGCAAATAGCAAACGTCTATATTTATTACTCGTATTGTACAAAACATACTAACTAACTTTTGCAAAAGAAAAATTTTAGTTAGCGTCATCTTTCATTAGAATACACAAATCGATGTGACATGAGTTCCTAGTCAATGAAATTGACCAACTTTTTTTCTATCGTAATAATAGATATTCTTCTGTGTATATACAGTGAAAACATTTTAATATGAACTGGAGAATGATCCATACCAATTTTTCTCATTTTATTTGACGTTTCGTTATGCATTGATTACATTATCAGACGGAAAAAAAATGAAATGAATATACAAGACAAGAAGGAAAGAAAGAGAGATGAACAAAAGAACAAAGACACTTATTCAAAGACAACGTTTTCTTCTAATAAGTGTCCTTGTTCTTTTGTTTATCTCTCTTTCTTTGTATTATTTATCTATTTATTCTTTCTTTCTTGTCTTGTGTATTCATTTCATTTTCATTTTCTTACTGTTGATGTTATAAGTACATAACGAAACGCGAAATAAAATGATAAAAACGGTATGGATCATTCTCTTGTTCATATTAAAATGTTTTCACTGTATATAAACAGAAGAAAATCTATTATTACTATAGAGAAACAGTTGTTCGATTTAATTGACTAGGAATTTATGTCATACCGATTTGTATATTCCAATAAAAGATGAAGCTAACTGAAATTTTTCTTTTCCACGCGTCAGTCACTCTGTTTTGTGTAACACAGATAATAAATATAGATCTTTGATATTTGCGCCACCTTTCCCATATCAATATGCATTGATTCAGAGAGATGAACCAATGGATTTTTTCTTTCTTCTGTTCAAACATACGTTTTATCGTTAAATTATGTTATTTTTTATGCGACACTACAAGCATTTCACTGAAGAATATCAATTAACAAATATGTAAAAGAGACTAAAATGATGATTACTATCATATATTTCATTGATTCTATCATCAACCTCAGTCACAAATAGATTTTAAACGAATCTGATCATATAAACGAAGAAAACAATATTATGATAATTTTTTAAAGACAAATTATCATTAGAATATCATTAAAAAAGTTACATAAAGTTTTGTTTTATTTTTTAGATGACTTCATCTGAGTTTTATAATAATTTGATAATATCATCTATATTTCCTTTTAAAACTAACAAACAACCAACTAAATCAAAAACTTTACGTCATACGTTTCTCGATGGTCTCGCTTTATTACTTAATGGTTCAAATAAATGTACATCAGTTTATCCATTGTTGAAAGAAAAAAAAATATTAATAACATGTAATGAATCATTAAAAAACGATGATAAAATTTATTTTGATGAATTTTTTGGTTTAATAAGAGAATATTCACAATATTGTTTAACATCAAATCGACATGATATGAAAAAAATATATTTATTATTAGAATCTATTATATTTGAATATAACAAGAATAAAAGTATTAAACGTATAACTGATGATTTATTTAATGATGTTGTTTCAAATCTTAAAAAATTATCAAATGCTAATGTTGATGATTTATGTCAAAAAATTACTTATGGCAAATTAAAAAAAGGTTCACCCGAATATTATTATTTAAAACAGAAAAATATTCTTTTAAAAGAATTTATTTTAAAATTATATAATTGGATCGATTATATTATTTCAAATCGACATGCAATCAAAAACAATAAAAACAATGTTGAACTAGAAATTATTTTGAAATTTCAAGTAATTGGTGAATTATTATATAATTCTGAAATATTTCGTTCTATACTATCAAAAGTATATTCAATTGGTAATGATGTTGAACGTATTCTATATTATTTTATTTTTTATTTTATTTATATACCCTTACCGTTACCAGTGTGGGGTGAGAAACATAATACAAAAAAATAGTAAAAAAGAAAAAAGAACAAAAAAAGTAAGAGAGTCTATTGTCTATTTTTCGACGAACACCACGTTGATTGCCGCTAGAATTGAAAAAAGATATTATCAGTCTATTACCCTCTGATGAACAGTTTAGATAATAGCCATCATACGAATCTCAATTCAATTATAGTAGTTGAAAAGCCATCAATTTGTCTATTTAATCCTATTTCTTTTGCACCACACTTTTGCTGCCACACATGATTTGACGTGATTTGTAATTCCCTGTGGCTTAAAACTTAGTGTGCAGCCAGGACATCTATATTGTTTGTTCTCTTTAACCAATATTTCTGTGACTTTACGTTTTATTGAGTCTGTCAATACAGCTAGATCTGTTTTTCTTCTCTGAGCTGATTGTTTTTTATATTGATACACAATATCTTTAATGTTTGCAGAAACTGGTTTTACATAAACATTCTTATTAATTGTTTCACGCCATTTTTTCCTGTCAAGCGTTAACCTACGCCAGTTCTGTATTTGTAATTCATTTATGTCTTTTAGAATTTTGTCCTCCCACTGTTTGCATCTTCCTATATTACTAGGTCTCTTTTCATCATGAAAATATGAAAACATCACTTTTTTTATTAATGATGGTGAACCGTCCGGGTTCGTAGTGCGGTTAACGTGCCCAAACCATCTTAGTCTGTTTCTACGCATAATATTTTCAATTGATGGTTGACCTGTAATGTCTAACAATGTTTCATTAGACATTCTATCACCTAAGTTTACTTCTATGATTGTCCGTAAACATTTATTATAGAAAGTAGTTATTCGTTGTTCTTGTTTTAAAGTAAGAGCCCATGTTTCACTACCGTATAGTAAAACTGGTATTACACAAGCTCTAAAAATTCGAAGTTTTGCTGTGATAGAGACTGATTTTCTATGCCATATGACATGGCGTAGTGAATTAAAAGCTTTAGAAGCTTTTGTTAGTCTTACAGATATTTCTGTGTCATGTCGCTGATCTTTCGTTATCGTGCAACCTAAATATGTAAAAGAGTCAGCTGTTTCGATTTTTTGATTTCTAATATTTATATTTATATCGTCATCATAGTTGATAACTTGTCCTTTTAATACCTTTCTATGTTGACCTTCTTTTAGTTGTTGTAGTGACATCACACAGGTTTTTTTTATGTTCATAGTCAAACCATATTGTTGTGTTACTTTTTCAAAACAACTAATGAATTTTTCTAGATCAGAGATCTTTTCACACATTACAAGTAGGTCATCTGCATATAATAATGCCAAAATGTCAAATTCATCATGGTTTTCGTTTTTTCCGTGAAAGAAATCATTACTACCATACGAGAATTTTACTCCTGATATGGCAGCTTCATTAATAACTTCTCTTATGATGAAGTCAAATAGAATGTTGAATAGGATTGGTGAAGGAATACCTCCTTGCATTACACCTGTATTCATTTCGAAACTATCCGACAATTCACCATTTATTTTGACTTTTGCTATTGAGTGTTTATATAGTATTTTTAATAAGCTAACCAATTTATCAGTAATGCCATAACTACGACATACCTTCCATAAGAGTCTACGGTTGACCGAATCGTAGGCTTTCGTGATATCAATGAAGCACATAAATAGAGGCTTATTGAATGCTCTTCTTTTTTCCATTGTCATTTTTAAAGTGAATATCTGATCTGTAGTCGACCTATTTGATCTAAAACCAGATTGTATTTCTAATAGTTGGCAGTCTACTAAATCATGAATACGGTTAAGTATAATACGTGAAAATATTTTACTAGTTGTATTCAATAGTGCGATGCCTCTGTAGTTGTCGCAAATTTTCCTATCACCTTTATTCTTGTACAGTTTGATTAGGGTTGTCATGTTCCATTCCTTTACCATCTGCTCGTTCTCCCATACATCAGTAAAGAATTCGAACAGCCATCGTATTATTGGTTCACCACCAGCTTTTAGGATGTCAACTGTAACTCCATCACTACCTGGGGCTCTCCTAGACTTCGTTTGATTTAATGCTTTCCTCACTTCTTCAATAGATGGTGGTGCATTTTGCCGCCGCTCTTCAGTTATTGACAGAGTCGGTGTTTCAATTAGGTCAATGAGATTTTGATCAATTGATGAGTTTACGTTGAGAGTTTCATAGAAAAATTCACGCCAACGTTTCAAGGTATCTTTTGAATTTACCAGTAGTTTACCACTTTTATCTTGCACTGGCATGTTTTCGCCTCTTTTACTTCCTCCTCTGAGACGTCTAATGATGGAAAAAGCCGTTATAGGATCATTATTTTTGATAGATTTTTCTATATTTTCGCATATTTCATCCCAGTATTCTTCTTGACGATGTTCCGTCATTATTTTCACTATTTTTCGCAGGCGTTTATAGTCTTTATGAGATTTAGACTCTAAATTAGAGCCACGATTGTTTTGCCATTCAACAAAAGCTATTGATTTTTGGTCTATAACTTTAAGAATGTCGCTTGTCAACCATTCTTTCCTTTTTCGGTTTGTGTTTTTGTCAACAGGAAAATGATATTTGGCCTTTTCTTTTATCTGTGACAAAAATAGTTCGTAGCTCTGATCAATGCTGATTGTATCATCTTTTGCATTATCGAATATGTCACGAAGATCTTTTTGAAACGCTTCTAGTAATTTGTCATCTTTTAGCTTAGCACTATCAACGTTTATTTTCTTCGAGTTGACATTTTTTTTTCTGCTTTTCAGATGTATTTTAATCTTGACACGCATTAGATGGTGGTCAGTTCCTATTGTACCTGCTGCCCCTCTGAGCATTCGAACATCTTCAACACTTGATCTAAACTTCTTATTTACAAGAGTATAGTCGATCATGTGCCATTTTTTATTTCTTGGATGCATCCACGATGTTTGATGCACTAGTTTATGTTTGAAAAATGTGTTAGAGATTATGATGTTGTTAATCTCACAGAAGTCGATAAGTCTCGTCCCATTTTCATTTTCTATATCAACTGTAAATGGTCCTATACCGCTTCTTATTACGTGTTGATGTCGTTTTTGTTGATCATTGCCAACTCTCGCATTTAGATCACCCATAATGATGATCATATCTTTTGTGGATACATCATTTAATGTATCTTGTAAGTCATTATAGAATTTATCATTTTCATCGCTCATTTGTTTCGTTATTGGATTAATAGGAGAATAGACTGCAATTACAGTAATGTGAATTGGTGCGCAGTAGAGTCGAATTTTAATAATTCGTTCACTTATTGGTACCCATTCGCTCCCTGAATCCTTCCAAACTTTTGTGGCAATCGGATTGAGACAGATTGCCACACCATGAGCTTTTCGTGTTTTTCTGTCGTATGGCGCACCTGAATAGATCATCGTGTAGTCGCTTACTAATTTTACACCGGAATCACACATACACGTTTCACTTAGTGCGGCTATTTGTATTTGATATTTTTTTAATTGTTTGATTATTATTTCTCTCTTTGATTGCTTTATACAAGATCTAACGTTCCATCCGCCGAAGAAGACATGATTTTGTGCATTAACGCACCTATAATGTTTCCTTTCGTTAGCAGAGATTGTTTAATGTCCAGCTAGAGATTGCTAGCCTCATGACCAGACGAGTGGCTACTAGCAGCCCAGGGACGCCCCCTACAACCACTCGAAAGTGGTCGTAGGACCCTGTGAAAGTTAAGAACTTTCCTAGCAGGCGGATATTATTTAGATAGAGTATCGGCACATCATCGATCATTGAGTTTAATAGTAAAAACTTTACAAAGACGTAAATCTGAATGTGATCAAATATATAAAAATATTCAATGGTCTTTTATTGAACCAATTCAAACAATCGTTGAATTAAAGGAAACACCATCATCTTCATTTGATAAAATTTGGTTAGCATGTCGTTTAGGAAATGATGAAATAAAAAAAAAAAAAAAATAAAAAAAAAAAATAAAAAAAGAATATCAAGATAGATTTATTGAAAATAAATTTGTTGAATATGATTCAAGTTTAAAATTATCAACATGTTTACATAGTGAAATTCGAATGATAGATTATTTAATTGAACAAAATATAAAAGAAGTTTATGATAATGATGTAGAAATTGGAATATCAAAATTACCATGTTATTTATGTTCATTATATATTGCAAAATTAAATGGTGATTTAAATCGAACGTTTTATATTGGTTCTTTAAGAACTAATGAAAAAATTTATCCAAATTGGATGTTTAGAAATAATGAAAAAGATAAAATAATCGATGATATTCATAATCAATTATATACATTTATCAAAAATGAAGTACAACTATTGCAATTAAGAATAAGAAATAAAAGTGGAGATAGTGATATGCAAGACACAGAAATAGGTGATGACGATGATGATAATTTTTTCGTCCATGTAAACATGAATGACAAAGAAAATCCATAAATTTCAATGATTTTAATGGAAAATAAGAGCTTTGTTTTTTTTCTTTTTCATTTATATACATATGATTAAAAGGTTTATGCTAGACATGATCGAATTAAACTTCTTAAAAGCACTCTATAACCTGCAGCTGTTTGAAAATTTCTTTTGGATGAAACTCAATGAGAAAATTGTTCAAGTTTTTCATTAAAACTATAAGTTTTAATCAATGTAATTTATTTGAAAATATTATTATTTTATTTTGAAAAATTTTCTTGCAATATCGATTGTTATATACAGAAAAACTGGTTTAAGAAAAAGAAAAAGGAAAAATGGTTAAAAGAGACTCAATTGAAAAAACTATAGTTTTAATTAAAAAAAAAAGAGTGTAGCTCTTCTTGATAGAATTTTCCTGAGATAAGTTTTGAATCATCTTGTCTGATGTAAAGGTCTCATATGTTGACATATGTTACTTGTCATTCGTTTTTTTTTTGTTTCTTTATATTAATTTTGCTATGTCATGATTTATTATATACATGTATCTATATTATTGTTCTCGTTAACAAAGTTCAATTGACTTGTGAAAAAAATGACTCATTAACATTTATTTATCTATGATATGCCGCTATCATAATACAGGCAAATATTCAACAATAGATTGGATTGTCCAACAGCTTGTAAAATTTATGATAGTCTTCATCTGCAAAAAAAAGAAAGCAATATCATGCATGAATATTTAGGAATAAAATATATTCTACTCGAAAAGAAGCTTATCGATGTCTAACTATTATTCTTGTTTAGACACAAATAATGATTTAAAAATCACAACTATTTCAAATGTATCTTGAGTTTTTCTTTGGAAAGGATAATAAAAAAAGTTGAGAAAAGGTCTCGAATAAACCATTAGTCTCACTAGTTCTATAGAGCATGACACATATAGGAATTTAAATTTCGTCAGATATTGAAATATGCCTATCTTTTTCTTATCTCTATTGTCATAATTATTGATCAATAAATGATTTTGAACCTATAAAATAGAATGAAGATCATGCTATAATAATTGCTATAATAAATCAACTGTTAGAAATAATTGATAATATGTTTCAGCAATTAATTAAGGGTGTGAATTTTGCTGTTTACCCACACTAATACCCATAGTCACACACATGCCCAAACCATGTCGGATGAACTTCTGGTCCCAAAAAACCCTATTAGTTGAGCTCTCAACATGACAACTGCTGGTTGGACGAGCGTTAGACGGTGCAAGCGTCTGATTGGTTAAGGATGCAGCACAAAGTATTCATGTATTAATAGTTATTGTAAACTTGCATCAGTATACCGAGACACGTATCCGTACACGTGCCTGTAAACATACACAAACGCACGGATTTTATTTCATATGAAACTGCCTTCAGTCGAGGAAATAACACGTGTCGTGCACGTTATTATAAATATAGAATGTGCGTAGAAGAAGAAAATACAAACACATTCGATTAGTAAGCAGTACAAGAAACGAATGACCTCTGAATAATTGATATTAGTTGCGCAACACCCACTTTCTCTCTTCCTGTCGATAAAACAAGTTGGAAAATACCAACATTCTTGCTTATAAATAATTATTGCAGCAGTTTCAGTGCCTTTCATATTTCTCAACAGGTAAAGCACACCAAAGTAAAAGGTTTTCAACTGCTAGAGTACGTATTCTTAGCGAACAATAAAAAAACTCAAAATGATCTTCCGAATTATGCTAGTCGACGTTATGTGATTAATATGGACTTTTTATTTGTAGAAGTGAACATGTCGTATACGTATAACCAAACCACAGGCAAGTTTTGTAATGACAATACCGATCAGTGTACATCGTCCTACAGCGGATATAAGGGCGAGACAGATCAAACAAAATCAAATCAAGGTCCTATTCCTGAAGGAAAGTACACAATCGCAAACAGTTGTGACAAATCAGGCGAACGATGTAATTTGACACCAGATTCATCAAATGACATGTCTGGACGATCAGGCTTCCAAATTCATGGCGACAACAGCAAAGGAGATCAGTCAGCAAGTCACGGATGTATTATTCTAAATGAAGGAGATAGAGCTGGTTTGAAACAAGGTGATACACTTACGGTTAAAAAATAAGTGACCAGTTGCCGCCCTATCAACATAAGAGACAAAAAAATCGATCGAACACTGTTTTTTTTTTCAGCTATTCTTTTTCTTCAGTCTTTAATCGAGATTAAAGGTAAAACTAATTTCTTGTACAATATATTTGCCGTATCTATCTTCAGAATTCTCGTGCGATTTAACTTTTATAGAATGAACGAATGGAAAATGAACTTATATTCTTCTGTTTTCCAGTGGTAAAGCTGTTTTTCTTATTGGCTGTATTGAGATAAGGGTTATCTAATTCATTCAAACAAAGAAAACTATAAAAACGACGAAATTTGACAACATTGATATAGGATTGAGCATTGCAAGAGCAATATTCAGGCGACATATAGACTAGAAAATAGTATAATCATTTATCAAGGATATCATCAATATAATAAGAATTCTACCGTCAGTATTTGGATCTAAGCAAGCATAAAAAGCAATCTTGAACCTGGTTTTGTGAAAAAGTTTGCAAAAATAAGAGAAATAATGATAGAAAAACTATGTCGACGATATTTTTTTTTCCTTCAATTCTGATTTGAAATTCATATCTCCTCGAAATTTCTGCACATCAGCGAAGTATGAATAAAGTTAGCGAAGAAACAATATCAATGAAAACATTGATTCACATCAGAGATGTTAATGTGATGTTTTTCTTCGCCTCATGGATAGGTTGCCCCTTCAGTCAATTTTCTGTATTGCAGTTTTCTCCACTAATGGAGAGGCTGAGTTTTTCCAATTCAGTTTATTCCTGGCCATGGACCCCATGGGTGGAGCTCATGGGGTAAACGAAAAAACAGATTATTTACTTTCCCAAAAAAATATGAGCACAAAACGAAACAAACGGTGAACACTGTTCACAAATACACAATCAAGAAAACAGGAAAAGTTCTAAAAAGACACCTCACAACACAATACAACATTTATCATGTTTCATAATGAAAACAAGAAAGTTGTTTTTATCAACCATAGCCATTTTAATCAATTTTAAAATCAATTCTACATATTTACTAGAGTAAGATATATGCATAGAGACAAGTATGTGCAATAAAAAAAAAGACTGAAATTCGAAAGAAAAAAATAGAAACTTTT